CCTTTTCCACACCTCAGTTGTTTGTTCTGCTCCTGAGCTTGACCTGGTAAGTCTGGCATGGCCTCCACTCCGTCTCATAAACTCTGAGAACATTTGACTAATGAGATGATGCTAATCTCAACCGTCTGGTATTGGATGTGCTATGCTTGGTCACCTTGCAACATTGGGTCAGGGGATGTTCCTCCTTCATCAGTGTAAACAGAGATGCTCAAATATTCTTCCATTTTTTTTTAAATCCAGTTAGTAGAATGGACAGATATAATCATTTAGCCAAGTAGAGGGTTTCATGTTTTGTAACTCTGATCAAGGTAGGCCTCCAGATGAAGAAGGCAGCAATGGTGTGAGACAGACTAATTCTTCATGCATTTTTACTAGCAGAGTGCTCAGATCCCAGAAATGAGAACTAGGGCAAAGCAGGCAGAGGAACATGAATCCTGCTCTGACATCCTCTACCAACTGAACTATTTGGGCGAGTGAATTTTTTCCCCTCACCAAAATTACAGAGGGCCTAGTCAATATGGAAAATATTTATAAAAATAACATGAAATCTTCTTGAACTTTTTAGATGTCTCTCTTGCTATTTTAACTTGGGTTGCCCCTACTTCCCCAGTGCATGCATGCCCAAAGTCTAAAGATGGTGGTTGAAGAAGTATTTTATTTAGGTGAGAAAATGGATTGAGGTGTTTGATTGGCAGGACTTAGAGTTTGCTTTATTACTGGAGATGTTTGGAGCATAATCCCCAAAAGGGACTCTGACAGTGTGTCACACGCTCCTCAGAGTTGTCTCATTCAAAGAGGAGGGTCATGCCATCTATACAAGAAATGTATTTTTCCAATCATCTGTTTCAGCTATAAGAATGGAAGATCCAGAAGACTGAAGGCTTCATTTTGTTCATTTGCTTATCTTATCAAAGACGACTCCATGGAGGCATTCAATAAAGCTTGTTTGTTCCTCTCAATGGATGCTAATGAAGTTGTCAGCATTTCAGAGAACCAAGAACTGCTCTGTTTTATATCTTAAAAACATTATGATAGAAGACATCATATCTACTTAGGCACGGTCTTCAAAGGGAAGAACAATGAGAGGGCATCACCAAGCATTCAGTTTGGAGAGGCTGTCTTAACAGGGGTGTGTGTAAATGGAATCATGGCCCAAGGAGACTATGGTGGGAAGGATCAGTGTGCCTTGCCAGCAAGTATGCAAGTATGGAAACAGGGTACGAGATTAGGATGGGAAACAAAAGCGGTAAAATGGAGAGTGGTTTTTCAAAGATGTGAGATATCTATTTTGGAAAAGGGTGAAAGGCAGAGTTAGGGTTTGCCAATAGATGGAAATATGAGCTCAAATAAAGAACTGCATCTCATTAAATACAAAAGGCCCCTCTCCACTGAAATGGCTATAGAGTGGATCAGTTTAGTCGTCTCGATGTCCTCTCACGTGAGCAGCACTCCTTGTCTCACGCTGCTGTTCCGTGTGCCTGGACACCACCCATCATTCCTAGAGAGCAGTTAAATGCTGCTCAGGATTAGTCTCTCTCCAGAGACTAGGCCTTTGCTCTGATTCCTATATAAAGACATATATGCTGGTGGGGATGGAGTGAAGGCAAGGAAACAATCTACCAGTCATTGCTGAGAAGGCTGGAGAGTCAGGCTGCAAGAGTGGAATCATAGCTGAGAGGCTGGGCAACACTCTGCACATCATTCAGCTTCCCTCAGGCTGTGTCCCAAACGCAGTCAGTTTGACGAGGTCCACAGTCTAGTCCTGCAGGCTCTCAATTAAGCAGGTTGACTCAGTGGAACAAGTCATCTCTTGGTATCCATGGATGATTTATTCCAGGAATCTCCAAGTCCCTTTCACAAAACATAGCACAGTATTTGCACAGAACATTTGCACCTTCACATGCTTAATTCCCATATTTACCTTATTCATGATGTTTACCACTACATAAATGCAGTGTCTTTGGAGATAGTAGCAAGATCTAAACATTTTGAGTACAAGCACATCTTCCAGAAATGTTTCCAACCTTAGGTTAACTGAATCAACAGATCTGGATGACAGAGAAACTAAAGGCATGGATAATTTGTTGACTCATAATAAACTAGCCATAATAAAGGTTTTATCTATAATCCCTATTATTTTCTAAGAGGTTATATGTTTTCTTTGTAATCTATGTGATAACTCTGATATATTTTATTTAATTTACACAGTCTGTGGCCTGCGCGAAACTATGAATTGCATGAGAATAATGACCATGTGTGTTTTATATGCCTACTTAACATCACATACAATAGATTTTCGATATGCAACACACACAAAAAAAATGGTCAAATAGAATGCCCCAGATAGATATTGGCCCCATAGTCAGGGAAAAAGAGATGCCCTTTGGTAGTGATAGTTCTTTAATCTTGCCACAGTCATACTTCCACAGCTCAAAGGGAAATGGGCAACGTGTTAAGTGGGGGCAGCTTCCAGCTGTGTGGCAGTGATGGCAGGTCAAGGAAGAATAGCAGCTAGGACTAGTTAGCTGACAACCTCTGGCAGCCATGCCTTGGCATTCACTGGAGGCTCCACCCAAAGGCTAAATTCTCCACATGACTGCAGCCAGTGCTGACACAGCCCAGCTGCCACAGCTGGCTGTTTCTACTCTAATGGAAAATCCGCCCCAAGGCTTCCATCATGCCAACCTAGACTTCCTCAGACTAATGCAGTGAAGGCAGCACTCCGTCCATCCCTCTCTCCTTTTGCAAGGGTTAAAACCACAATGTCTATATTCTTCACTTCTACTCTTGGCCCCTCTCCCCTTCGTTCCTTCTGAATCTGTGAGCTCAAGATAGAATGTGTGATAAGAGTAAGTGGCTGTCTGACCATATGTAAAATGCACTACCCATGAACAGATCACACACACACATGCACGTGTGCACATGAACATATATGTGTATGTATGTAAATGGAAGTTTCTGTTGCACTTGTTCCCAGAAACACACAGAGGCTGTATTAATTATGAACTGTTTGGTCTATTGCTGAGGCTTATTATTAACTAGCTATTACAACTTAAATAACCCATAATTCTTGTCTATGTTTAGCCATATGGCTTGGTATCCTTTCTCAATAAGGAATCCCCATCTTGCTTCCTCTGTGTCTGGCTAGTGACAGACTCCCTGCTTTTCCTCTTCCCAGAATTCTTAGTCTGACTGCTCTGCCTATACTTCCTTCCTGGCTACTGGTCAATCACCATTTTATTAAACTAATACAAGTAACAAACCTTTAAAGGGTACAAGAGCATTATCCCACAGCTTTTACACACACACACACACACACACACACACATTCTTTATACAGAGAGAGAGAGAGAGTGTAATTAATGGGATTATCTTCATGTATTCTCATATCCCACCTTGCAATGCTTTTAAGTGTTGCTATAATTCTTCATAAATAGAGAGAAGTTGAAAACACTAGAAAATGTCATTTAAAATACAGGGTGGTAAGATACTATGATTCCTACATTTAAAATTATTCAAGGGAGAAAACAGCAGAGGTACAATACTGTATGTGAATTCCATTTCCATTTATCTTCTATGGTCTGTCTGCCAAGGATTGAACTGCTTTCATGCAGACTTGCTTTGAAAACATGGGGAAGAAATAGTCTGTGTGATGTTGGAACTGTGCAATCGGAAGGATCCACATGAGCGTTGCCAACCACCTTTCGTTTAAGAGTAAGAAGCCTTCATTTAACCATAAGTGTTGCAAAGTCATGGGTTTCATTTCCTGGAGAAACAGAATATGACTACAGAAAAGTATAATGGAGTTTTCTGGCTGTCTGCTGAAAGAAATAACCCTTGTATGGGATGCCCACCTGTTTTAAAGAGCTTCTTGCATGGGAAGCCTGCAATGGGCTTTCTTTATTGCTCTCAAAGAGACAAGTTACCGGAATATGAATATTAGATGCAGCATTGTCACTCTCTGAGTTATTAACAGTGATTCTCTTGAACAAATATAGATTGTCTTCATCATGTGACTAGAAATAAATTAAAAGATTTGAAAGATCAAGATGAATGGGTGTGTTTCCTTCTTTGACTCACCCAGAGAAGTCTGATTCTGCGGTCTTGCATCTAGCCTCAATATTGCCTATTTTGTGAAGCCTTGTCCCTTGGTGAATGTATCTCCACCCATTGTACGCTATCAAGAAAGGTGCCTGTTTTAAATTTGTTGATGCAGACCCTTATAAGACTACACTGGGGTTCCTTGGTTGAATTCAAAGACAAGAGTAAATGAGAGACAAATCTCAGACTCAGCACCACCACCCTCTGACTTCTAAGCGTCCCTTCTCTAGGACCTGTGCATGCTACGTTCACTGTGTGAAATAAGCACGTTACAGCATCTGATGGAACAAGGGGTTTTAAAGTTAGTGACTGTTTTTGCTGCATCTTTCTTTGAGAAGTTAATCTCTACTGAGTCTGTTCACTCTCCGCAAGATTTCCATGAAAAGTCCTGAATGGCTCCACTGTGTGTAGAGAAGCCTGTTGGGGATGATGAACGAGACATTTCTCCAGCTGCTCAGAGCCTTTTCAATGCCATCTTCTAGTTGATCCCATTCTCCTTGAGCAGCTAACTGCTCAGAAGACTCCCATGCAACCGATGGAAGCCCACGGGTTATACTCTAGGTCAGATCTGACTCCTGAACATCCAGCCTGTATGTAATCAGCCACTTTGTAATCCCTGCTGGGCTTCCCATGAGTCCCTCAAACCGGGTAAGTGTGGGTCTGAGCTCTCGTGCCCGTCTCGCTTCTCTCTAATCTTACTCTTTTGTCTTTCTTGTTCTCAGAAGTGTCTCCCATGTTCACACAAACGAATTCTATCAGGAAATACTCTTAGCTCCTTCAGACGTCTCATTAACTTTTTTATACACAGTTAAACAGCGGATTCCTGCTTTACCAACTTGTGCCTCGCAACTCTTTCCATTTCTCTTCAAACCCACTGAATTTTCCTAGCTCAGAATGACATTACCTCTCACCTGAGTGACTGCCAGGCTTCCAACTCATCTTCCCAGCTTCAGGTTGCTCCCTGTTCCAGTACAGCAATGTGCTATAAAAAAGAGCAACCTTGTTAGGGCACAAGTACCATACTACGTGTCTATTACATATCTGTCACTGCGTTAGTGGTGAGTCCTAGAACCACCGTTCCAGTCTCGTTCCATAACGTATTCCTGGGAACTTGATGTTCATTATAAGGTACTTTCCAGAGTTTCTCCCATGCTCTTAGGATCTCTGCAATCTTTTGAGAAAGCTTCTCTCTGACATAAACAGTTGCAGACTATGACATGTACTTGGAAGCCTGTGTCCTGAGGCTTATGCACAAATTGGGAGACTATGTCTACCAGTTCAGATCAGCCCACATTTTGAAAGTATCACAGGAATGAGTGATTGGATGAACACAATACCAGAGTGGGTTGTTGAGGGTTTTTGAGTTCTGTATGTTTGTTAGGAGAAAAGTGTGTGTGTGTGTGTGTGTGTGTGTGTGTGTGTGTGTGTGTGAGAGAGAGAGAGAGAGAGAGAGAGAGAGAGGGGTATGAATCATATGTGTATGAATAGGCATGTGCATATATCTGTAGGTAAATGAAATTTTTTGATGAAGAAAACATTTTCTTTAGCAAGGAGAAGTGATTTCCCCAAGCAAAGTGGTTCACACAGAGCATGCCTCCGGCAGCATCATCTCCTATGCTTCCATCAAGACTCTATTGGATGACCTTCTCATAATCTCCTAGTACAGCAGAAGGTGAGAGTGAGCAGACTATCTAGGGAACTGTTTGCATGCCTCTCTGTGCGCCAAAAGACTATGTTTCCTGGAAGAACTGAGGGAGCAGTAGTGAGGTGAGACCAGCCTCGAGAACCCTTGATGACAAGGCCAAGAGCACCACTGTGGTACTCAAGGGGCCTGTGAGAAGGCCAGGGGCTGAGAAAATAGGAACAGCAATGCTAACCCAAGTCAATATCATTTTTACCCAAGATCACACAGTTGAGAAATGTGATCCCGCTTTCATTTGTGTCTTCTAATTTGTAATTCTATCAAAACCAAATCAAAAAAAAAAAAAAACTGTACTCTGGCAGTGTAGTCTTCATCTGCCATATAAGCAGGAGACAACATGGCTTCTTTAAACCCAACCTTACCTAAAATAAACTGACTGTATTACGAGACTGGTTGCTAAATCATAAAGCCTCCATTATATATAAAACAATGAGGCTTTGGTTTCATAGAGCGTTTTCACAATGGAAGCATGATTTTGTTGGGGGCTGGAAAAGGCACACACCATAGGCATTATGTAATGTGTTTATTACGGATAGTCGTGAGGAGCTGGAGTCACAGAGCACGCTGGCTTTCGAGGGTATTGAGGCATCTGTTCTCTCTAACTCTATCCTCAGCACAACCTTGTGCCAAGGAAGACAAGGGTATTAAGCAATTTGCTTAATGGCAGATCTGGGAATAAGATCCAGATCCTCTTGGGTGTGTTCAATAATTACTTGTTTATGAAGTGACCTCTTGGGGTTTCTCTGAGAGGAAGAAATAGGCGGTGACTGGTAGTCCAGCTTGCAGGCTCCCTTATGCCGGTCTAAATTAAAACAAAGTTACCCGCTTAAAACCTTTTTTGATTATGTGGTAATTTGATTCAAGAAATATCAATCCTAGTAGCCAACCTAAGTTGAAATTTTCAAGTTCACCCGTCGAAATCGCAAATTTTGAATGTGTTACAATAATTTGTTCCATATGATAGCTTTGCTATAAAGTATTTAAAACATGAGCATAAAACATAGTAAGTAGAACATGAAAATGAAAATATGAATTAAGCAGAGAGTATAAAAAGTCATTTTATCTTTCAAGTTAAAGAAGAAATAGGTAGAAGGACACCTGATAAACTTGAAAATCTGTACACTAAAATTCTCAATACTAATTATGCAATCAAGAAGTGAAAATAAGAGGGGGCTTACGTCATGCACAGGGGAAATACAATCAATAAGAAAGTCCACTGAAGACCTTTAGAGCAGGAAAGGCGGTTTCTAAGCAAGAGTAATGAGGAAATCTTAGAAAACCAATACGCCTGGCTTGTGGATGAATTTTATAAGTGATGCTTTAGAAATTAATAACTAGGGCAACGTTTCAGCAGAAATACAATTTAGCCCAAAGTTCACATAGTACAGATAGTATCACTCAAATCTGTACAGAGCTTCAAATCATACAATCTTTTTTAAAGATTTATTTTATTTTTAATTTGTGTATATGAGCATGTCTGTGTGTAGGCTTGTGTAGATGAGTGGAGGTAGCCATGAATGCCAGAAAAGGCTTAGGATATATACCCTGGAGCTGGAGTTGCAGGCAGCTATGATGTGCCCGAAAATCAAACTCAAGTCCTCCGTGAGAGTAGTACATGCTTTCAACTGCTGAGAACATCTTTCCAGACTCTGAAGAATATTTTCTCACTTCCTCATTTGAGGAAACTGAGGCCCAGATCGCCTCGCTGATATGTTAGGTTTTATCCAAGTTCACAAGAAGGCCTGCTATAACACTGGTAGAGCTCGGCAAGCAGGAAAAGGGCAGACAAATGTCACACCTGATGTCACACATCCACGGAAAAACGTTAACCCCATTATGCTATTGTGCTTCCTTATAATCGCGTACTTCTGAACGGTCAGCTCCAGATGGGCCTGGGGCAGAAGTTCAGGCAGGACCTGAAAGGAGGCTCCAACTCTTTGAACTAAAGCTCCCAGGTGCCCCTATCACCAGCATAAGGAGGAATTAGGACTGTGGTGAGCATGTCTCTTCTATCTCAGAGATTGTCCACAGTGCTGTGGGGTGGGAGGGGATGACAGAACAGATAGTCCATACCTTTTGATGATTCTTTCTCTACTTAACTGGTACCTTTCCCTTTTCAGGACTATGAGTAGAACTTTCTATAAAATTTATATAGAATTTGGGGTGATGAAGGATGCTTAAAAAAATTCCACACTACTTCAGAACTGAGAATAATAAATGGTTGTTTATTTAGGGGTAGACTCACAAATCAGAATCCTCTGCTGGAACAGACAACAGCAACAGCAACTGAATCAGCAGCCGGACGCAGCTTTACATTGGCATAAATAGTATAAGAGGCCATGCCCCTGTGGGCGGGTAACTTAAAGGCTACTGGCTGTAGGATTTTCTACAGCATTGGGGGGGTCTTTAAAGCAGTTCCACATACATAAGAAGCTCACTTGATCCTTCTAAGATACTCATAACAAAGAAATCACAAGTTTCATCAAGCACAAGAGGAATCCAAAGAAAGGAACTCAGCATCCCAAAGTGAGGAGAGTTTCACTCCACTCTGTATACCGTTGCACACTCAATTAACTACACACTGCTTCATAATTTAAAGCATGGCGGACATCACACGGCAGCATGCTCCAAACACAAGAACAGTGATCTTATTCAAGATACGTGGCCTGGAGACTTCAGATACATCTGAGGCAAATGAAGTTAAGATTCCAAATGCCCTAGCAAAGATACTAATGATGAGCACAGTCTGTTCGGGCTGCCTTGACAAAACACCTCAGACTGTCTTAAACAAAGGAAGTGGACTCATTCAAAGTTCCTTAGGAGCGATACTCAAGGTCAAGGTGCTTCCCATTCAGTCGCTGATGAGAGTCCAACACCTGGCTTTCAGGTGAAGTTCTCCTTTTTAGGGTCTCTTATAACCATCCCAAGGTGTTTGCTTAAGGTTTGAGTACCCACTTCAGTGTGTCTTTTTCTCTTCTTAGAAACAAATGTATTGATTGATTAACAGTCCAGGCTATCTTTGAGCACACAGTATAACCCAGCTGCCTTTGAATTTGTGGTAACCCTCCTACCTTAGCCTCCCGAATTCTGTGATTACAGGTATGAACGACCAGGCTCAGCTTCTATTTTTTTTTTAATCTTAACTGACATGAAAACTTTAAAAATACACACATTAATGGAACATTTGACACATGTATATACATGTATACATGGTATAATATCTAAGCTATCTAAGTTAAACCAACGCATCTCTTCAAACATTCACCAACCCTTTATGACAAAATCCTTCCAAATCCTTTCTTTTATCTCTGGACAGCATCCAACTCACTAGTCTCCCTACAGTGACTCTACCATATTGTACCACATCCAAACCTCTTGCTTATAGCATACTGTAGCCCAATAGCCATTGTCTTCCTCCCTGCTAGTCTCTCCAGCATCTGGTAATTACCCTTCAACTTTCAAGTTCCAGATCAAGGGTTTTAGATTCAATACAGGTAAGATCATCAACTACTTATCTTTTTATGCCAAGTCTAATTTAACATAATAGTCTCCAATTCAACTCATTTTGTTAGTAGCAATACTGCTTCATCCTTCACTCACTGAGTAACATTCCATAGTCAATATGTACCACTTGTTTTTATCTATTCATTAGTTTACACACACCAGCTATTTCCATATCTATTATGAGTACAAATGAACATTATACAAATATATATATACATACATGCATGAGTATATATATACATATATATATTATACAAAACTTATTGTTTTGAACTATACACTTCCTCTTTTCATGTGGACATCAGCTTGAACAGATTATACCATCTCTCCCTATGATTTCATTTCAACTTGGTTTAATGACACCACAGGGAGTAGCACTATTAGGAGGTAAGAATTTGGTGAAATAAGTGTGGCCTTGCTAGAGGAAGTGTGTCAGAGTTGGGATAGGCTTTGAGGTCTTCTATGCTCAAGCTATGCTTCATGTGGCACATAGTTCACTTCCTGGTGCCTGAGGATCAGGATGTCAAATTCTCATCTCCTTTTACAGCACATGTCTGTCATGATGGTAATGGGTTGAAATTGTAAACTATCTCCAAATAATTTTTTTCTTCATACAAGTTGCCATGGTGCCTATTCACAGCAATAGAATCTCTACCTAAGACACCATGTCTCCATGGGGATACAAAATTCAATATTTCATGTTGAAAGTACACAAATCAAACTCCAACATTCATCCAAGATCACAAGTCCATTACACATACAGATTAGATACATCA